AGAAGTGCTCCTGCGCTGCCCTCAAGTGTTTGATACCAATTACAGCTAGCTAACAATAAATGCATTTCTCACATACATCAAAGATTGATTACTGCATTGCTGTAAACATTTCACTTAAATCATATAGTGACCTTACCTTTATAGAAAACCAGTCCAAAACACATATGTACGCAAATTTAATTGCAACAGTGATGCAGTGCAAGAAAATTGTTGTCCATATCTGTAAAACACAAAATGTCCATCGTGCTTCAGATAAATTGATAATTCGTGTTGTTAAACAAAATCCACCACAGCTCAATCAAACCTTCACCTTATGTGCTCAAATTCAATTGCAGTTGTGATGTAATTCAAAACATATGAAGTCCATAACTGTGATACACAAAATGTCCCTCGTGCTGGAGGCAAATTGTTAATTTGCATTGATACACATATTCACAAATTGTACCACCGCTCAATCCAGCCATTTACCTTATGTGTACCAGTCCGCTATGCTCATGTGCTCACCTTTTTTATACTGTATAACCTGCATGATATAGAGGTCATAAAATGCCCTTTTCCCTCTTTTTTTTTTTTTTTTTTGGGGGGGGGGGGGTAAATAGCATGCATTTTCTAAATATAGCAAAACCCTTTCTTGTATTAAAAGAGGTATGGACTGTAGAGGAGTGTTTCTCCATCTTTTTTTTTTTTCAGCTGAGACGCCCTTTAAAATTATTGACAGTCTCAAGGCACCCCATTCTAAAATGTAAAAAACTATTTTAATAGCTTTACATATTGCAGGAACATCCACACACATAGGACACTCAACGTTAGAGGTGATTTATTCTTCCAAAGCAAATACACCTTCATACACTGGTACTGACTAGTATTCTTCTCCCTCGGTTTCTCTCCCTCTCTCAGCTAATGTGACCCCAGTGCTGGCAGATAGTGGCAGGGGAGAGGCAAACAAGGATGATGTGCAGGAGCTCAATGTGCTCCTTATCAACCAATGACATCATTGGATATTAGGATACTGGCAGCTAGAAGGTTGTAATGGTGCACAAGGAAAACCTGTGGCTTTGTGTAACTAAAAGGCAGATGAATATAAATAAGGCTACCCTGTTCAACCTGCCAGCCAGCTAACCAACAACATTGGTCAGCAGCCCCAGTCTAAAAGTGGCTAAAAGTCAGACTTGATCCACCTGCTGGCTTGTATACAGTTTTTGGGAAATTTTTTGGCATTTTGCCAAGGCACCCCTGAAGAGACCTGAAGGCACCCGACGGTGCATGGGCACCCTGGTTGAAAGAGGCTGCTCTAGAGAGAGAGACCTAATTTTGGCCCCATACAAATTATTAGTAATGCCTCATCTGGAATATGCAGTTCAGTTTGGGACACTAGTTCACAAAAGGATATTAGAGAACTGGAGAACGAAAAGGGCAACCAAACTGATAAGCATTGAGTAGCTCAGATATCAGGAAAGTTTAGCAGAACTGAACTTATTCTGTTTTGAGAACAGGTGATTATGGGGAGATATGATCAACATGTACTGTATAAATACATGGGTGGTTCATATAATGAACTTGGTGTAGTTTTTCACCTTTAAGGTTGTTACAGGGATCAAGGAGGGACACTTTGTATGGAGGAAAAGAGATTTAACCTCCATATATAGAAATAATTCTTCACTGTTAGAGCTGTGGAAATATGGAATAGATGATTGTTAATCCAAGAAATATCCGATTACCTCCTGGGGAACCCAGAAGGATTTTTTTTCTGCCACAGGAGCAAATTGGATCATGTTTCATAGGATGTTTTGTCTTTCTCTGGATCAGTGGTTAGAGGATTATGTATACGGAAGTTTTCTGTTTGATTTTTTGCTTATTTATTTCTGTTGGTTGAACTAGATCAGGGGTCTGCAACCTTTAAGACATAAAGAGCCACTTGGACTCGTTTCCGAAGGGAAAAAAAAGACTGGGAGCCGCAAAACCATTGCAACATTTAAAACAAATCCGACACTGCATATATTGTTTCTTACCTTAATGCTATATACAGGATCGTGCAGTTAGCTGTCAATCTGAAGAAAAAAAGAACTTTTTCACTTAACAATGTAAAATATATTTTTGCACATTAATAGCTAATTAAAATATTTAATTTATCTGGTTAATGGGATTTTTTCTCCTGAACCTCAGTGCACAGTGTCTGCACATCAGGGCTGTAAGACGTCACCTTCATTTTCACACAGGCTTGCAAGCTGTCATCTGTGAGGCGTGATCGATGTTTGTTTTTAATACAGTTCGTGTTGGAGAAGACCTGCTCACATACATATGTGGAGCCGAAGATCGACAGCACTCCAAATGCATACTTTTTATTTTGAGAGCCACATTTTTAAAACTGAAAATACATCCCCCATATAGTAATTCATCCCCCATATAGTAATTCATCCCCCATATAGTAATTCATCCCCCATATAGTAATTCACCCCCCATATAGTAATTCATCCCCCGTAGTAATTCATCCCCCATATAGTATTTCATCCCCCATAGTACTATTCCCCCCCCCCCAAGTAGTAAGCCAAGTCCCCCCCCCCTGTGTCAATTCATTTACCTTTGCTCCGCGCGTTCCTCTCGCTGTGTTCCCGCGCCGTTCCGGTCTTCAGGGCGGACTGTGAGAGGAGAGGAGTTCGTCACGCTGCCCCGCCTACATCCTGGCTGCCCCGCCTACATCCTGACAGCCAATGTTCCACGCTCTGCGGGCCGGATTAAAAGGTCCGCCAGGCCGCTGCAGAGTCCTGACTTTTGAGACGGCCGCCCCCGAGAGGAGGGAGGGGAGCGGGCTCCCGGCACACAGAAGAGCCGCATGTGGCTCGCGATCCGCGGCTTACCGACCAGTGAAACCCTCTTGCCTGTCACCTGGTGGGCAGTGTGCTCCGGAGCTGCAGCAAAGATGAAAAAGAGCCGCAGGCGGCTCTGGAGCCGCGGGTTGCCGACACCCGAACTAGATGGATGTGTTTTCCTTTTTTTTTTTCAATCTGACTAACTATGTAACTATATGTAAAAGAAATTTGGTTGGACATGGACTTTAAATTTGGGTGAACAGCAGAAACAACAGGAGAGGGGGTTGTTTACTGTCTACTATTATACATGTAAAGAACTGTGTGTTGGTCTGGCTCTGCTTACCATTTACCCACAACCAGTTTTTTGTTTTTTTTTTTTTAAACCTTAACCAAAACCAGTCTGCAGGTTTGGCAACAACAACCACTTTAGAGTTGGCCATCATCTTACCAAAGGATGGTAAGACTGATTCCAAATTACTATAACTGTAAACTGCTGCCAAGAGACGAGAGATAGTTAGAAAACCGCTGCCCTTATTACATTAGGCTGAAATCTGACATTTGTCTGTTTTTTAACAGGATTTATCAGTTTAATGTGGCAAAGCAATCATAAAAAAGGTACACCGAACTATAAGGTTGTCTGAATAGATATTATTTTCATGGACTGCATTAAGGGTACAGTTAAATTGTCACTAACCTCACATAAAAACTATCAATAAGTCTGTACTACACTCTGTTCATATTCACTCAATCACTATGGGATTTGTTTTCTGTATTCTGGACCAAAACTTGTTGATCCTACTGTTCTCTATCTCCCCATTCTGTCCATGTCCCCAGTGCAGTTGGAGATTTTGCAGAGCAGTGTTGGCAGCTACTGCACATGCTCAGTTTTCAATGTGTTTGCATACTGAGCATTTCCTCCTTGATCACATCTGAGTAGCCCAAGTGACTACAGAGTCACACGTGGGCGTATATACAGTGGTAAATGACAGCCCACTGTCTATCCTCTCCTCCACCATGCCTTCTAACCAGTTAAACACAATAGGGGTGGGATATTATATCTTGTTTGATGGAGGCTTTACCTCCCTGTTATTCTAAGACATAAGCTGGAGGGGCGTGACACAGCCTGTGACTGGCAGAAATCCAAAGATTTTATTTTAAATATATATCTGTATGACGATTTAAAACCATTTATTGATATCTATTTCTATACTCTATCACAAAGGCTGTTTTTTATTTATTTATTTATTTATTTATTTTTTATGAACATGTGACCAGCAGGATTAGAAGCTCCTCCTGCTTATATTTCCATGCAGACAGGCTGGGAAAGAGCTGGGTCATATGCTAGCTGTATATCAATTAGGAAATAAGTACTTAGATTTTTTTTTATTGAAATAATTTGTGCCATCAACCACATACAGAAAGAGAAGGGATAATGTAAATTAAACAGTGTGTGTTTAGTATTACTTTAAGCTTTGCATTTAGTTCAGAAAAGGTATTTGCAAATGTACAATTCCCATATTGGTATCCATTTTTACTCTTAAAGCTTAATTGAAGCCTCAGTCAGGCTGCATATATAGCAATAAATATATTTATAATTTTTTTAACTATTTTGTTTTCTTATCACCGACTATAGTGCATCTAGCATATGGTATTGTACCCTTGCTACAACGCTTAGTTATTAAAAATAAGAGCAGATTTATTATTGCACTGTGTATGCTGCTAGGCTGCATTCCAGTTCTAAAACCTTCATTTGGTGTTTTAAAATATCAAAGTAATAGAACAGGATTTTATTTTCTTCCTTGTGGATGGTCACCAGAATTAGCTGAGTTTAACATTGGCTGAATGTCAAGAAACAGAGGAAGTAAAAATAAGTACTTTGTGTCTATATATACTAGAATTTTTGTTATAATAGAGCTTTTTGTGATTGATTCACTTCAGTAATAATGCTTACTTATTCCTTTTCTTTGTAATAAAAATAGAATTTGATCCAGAATGATGCAGTCGGCTAGGTTTCAGTTCTATTTCTACAGGCTTGCCCTTATCAGCGTTTCACTACAGTGATTTATGAGCCATATTACTTACAGGGTGTTTGTGTCTTCTCCAATTTCCTGACATCACTTTTTCTCTCCTCTGGACTGTATATCTGCTTATGACTTGTATTTCATATATTTACTTGTATATTATATGTTTCAGGTTATAATCACCCAGCCCTAATAAAAATTCTACAACAGCCACAGAATTTGGTAAGTGGAAATAAATGTCAGCTATGCCATACCTGTGTAAAATAAAGCACTTAAAAAATGTACAGCACATAAATAATGTTTGTACAAAATATATAGAAATATATATATATATATGCTTGGTTTTGAGTTTTTTTTTATTTACCTTTGTGGACTATTTGCTCAGAAATAATGGCAAGGCGTAAACCATGCAGGCATTGGGGAAGGGCAAATTGCTTACCATTAAACTACAATATTAGAATGCACTACACCCATTTGGCTTCTTTGTGTGTGAGCAGCCAAGGTGAATGTACAGATGCTGATAATTGGGGAGGCTGGCACCCACCTTGACTGCTCACATAGAATAAGTTATTAGATTGTGTAGATCATTAATGGATCTCAGTGGTACTCCTCATGCAGCCTTTTAGAGCATGCATGCATAATGTATTCTTTTTTGGCATCACTTTCAGAGTTTTCTTTTAAAAGGTTCATGTATTAAAGTGTATGTAAACCCTAAAAATCTTCCCTTATTTGTTCCCTTTTGGTCTGTTAAATATACCATTAAAGGTTTTTTGTTATCTGTTTGAAAAGTGCAAAAAACTTGTTAATCATATGAATTGATAACTCCAATGTATTCTGCCAGAGCATAAGAGGTTATGCAAATGAAAGGTACAAAGATCTGTGTTCTTTGTAATCCATTAGAAATGAAGTAGGAGTGCCTGACAACATTCAGAGCTGAAAATACACTGTGATGTCATCTCATAGTTACACATTCAGGTTGAAAAAAAAAGACCATCTAATTCAACCAATAGAAAAAAAACAAACAAATAGAAATACCTCCACAATCCTATACCCACAGTTGACTCCAGAAGAAGGCAGAAACAAAAAACAATAAAGCATGATCTTATTCACTCCAGCAGAGGAAAACAATCTTTCCTTGTTCTTGGGGGAGTCTGCATCACATTTTCACAGCTCTTACTATAAAGAAGCATTTCCTTATATAGAGGATAAGTCTCTTTTCCTCGAGATGTAAAAAGTGCCTTTTGTCCTCTCAAGAGATAATAAATTCAGTTCAGGCAATCTTTTCTTATAGCTGAGCTCCTCCATGCCTCTTTTCAGTTTGGTTGCTATTCTCTGCACTTTCTCCAGTTCTCTGATATCCTTTTTTGTGAACTGGTGCTCAACTGAGGCCTTATTAATGATTTGTACAGGGGCAAAATTATCTCTCTCTCTAGATCCTATACCTCTTTTAATACAAAAAATATTTTGCTATCTTTAGTAAATACATCTTGGCATTACATACTATTATTGAGTCTATGGTTTACCATAGCACCCATATCCTTCTCATCCATTGACTCCACCAGCTGTTCTCCTCCAAGAATGTATTCTGCATGCATGTTTTAGCCCCTAAGTGCAAAACTTTACATTTATCAACATTAATCCTCATTTGGCACATACTTGCCTAATTAAATATTGTATTAAGGTCATCTTGTAAATTCAGAAATCTTGTAAGGACATTATTCCACTGCATAGGTGCCATATGCAAACACCAAAATGGTACTCCTAATCCAAACTCTGTCACTTATAAATGGTTAAAGAGTAGGGAACTGTGTCAAGCGTTTTTCAAAATACAAGTATTCTTAGATATTAAGCTGCAAGAAGCAGGGCCCTCCTAACCCTCTTGTATTGAACTGTATCGTTGCTGTATTGTCTCCTTTTATATTGTAAAGCACTGAGCAAACTGTTGGCGCTATATAAATCCTGTATAATAAGTATTCTATATCCATAGTCCCTCCTCTGTCTAATTTTTTTGCATGCTTTTTCATAAATAAAAGATTTGTTTGACAGCTTCTGTATTTCTTGAATTCATGCTGACTTTTGCATAAAATATTGTTTTCAAGCAAAAACTCTTATATGTGGTCTTTATTAGACACTCGGTTATCTTCCCAGCTATAGAAGGTTAAACTTACAGATCTGTAGGACTTTTATCCCTTTTTAAATATAGGCACCACATTGTCCTTATCCAATCCAGTGGTACCAAGACAAGTGATTACGAGTCTCTAAAAACTAGAACAATGGCTTTTTTCTCGTAAGATACCAGATCGTACGATTTTAATTTAATCCATACAGTTTTCATCCAAAATACAATACAAATACATTACATCACTTCCAACTTTTTATTCTGTGTTTTAAGAATTTTTTTAACTTTAGTAACCCCGTCACTTTTGATATGAGACTAGCATGCAAAAAAAAAAACGGACGGTTGTTTGTCCGATATTCTCATTGTGTGTACGGGGCTTAAATGTTTCTGGTCCATGGGGTACAAAGACAGCTCTGCAAGAGTTAATGTAGTGTGGATTACAGTGAGTGGTTATCAAGGGTAACGAAGTTCTAGCCAGCAGCCTGTCATGAAGCTTGTACTTTTTAAAAGTGAGCCATCCTCTTGCAGCAAGGGAGTTTTTTTCAGCATTATCTGCCTTGGCTGTCTGTCTCCCATAGCAATGGGAGCAGATCAGCACTCAGAGGTTCCCAACCTGTGCACAGGTACAAAAGAGGGAGTATTAACCTCCCTAGTGGTCTGATTATGTCAGTATTTCTGTGCTCAAAGTTTGTTTTCAATGGAAATATGTTTTTTATTGCAGGCCTGGAATTCTTAGGAATAACTCACTGATATCTGTCTGAACAAGAGCCTAGTAAACATCCTGAGTATGCTAACATTTGAAACAACTCAATCATACATTATAATATAATAAATAATCTTAAAAAATAATACATTTTATGCAATAATGTAATCAAACCAAAAACACTGAAATTTGAAATAGAGCGCCAAGTTCGCACATCACTGAGCTCAGTCGCAGAATCGTTTTCAGTGTTTTCAGTGTCTGATGACGAATTTCCCTTCTGTAAGTGGTTCTAATTTACTATTACTGTTCTCTTGCCGGTCTAAAACTGCTTTTGACCTGAAGGGACGCTTTTTGGATGCCATGAACGTTTCTCAGTTTCCAGGCAGAAAGAACGGTAAAAAATGCAGGCAGGGCACTGGTCAAAGCACTCGGGACAAAATGTATGTGAAATGGTTTGTTGCAGTAATGTAATACTATCAAAGTTTAGTGTATTATGTGTATGTAAAATTTGTACATTTTTGAATCTCCTGCCGGTTCCGTCCCCCGTACGTCCCAATGCTCGCAGGGAACGGAACCCGGAAGACGGATGCCGGCATCGGCCGGAGGACATGGCTGGGGATGCAGCGGGAGGACAGCGCGGGACAAGGTAAGTGATCCAGGGATCCCAGAGCAACACTGCAGTGTAATCCTGAGTGTAGCTCAGGGTTACCACTTCTGGTACTGAAACTTAACCCCATGTTACACTCGGGAATACCACCAGGGGGGTTAATGTAGTGCACATGTGGAGTCTGTGCTAGGCGCACAGTGGGACTCCATTTCGTTACTCGGAGTGAAGTAGTGGAGATACGCTGGACAGGTGGAGTGGGCATCGGCTCAGCATGCTACAAGCTACATCAGTGGTGTATATGGACATGGGGATGAGAGTTAACAGAGGTTCACTGTACACAGTGTAAGGCCATCTTTGAGTTGGGGGTCCTTTAAGGTTGAGTTATCCTTGAAAGCAACCCCCTGTCTTGTCCCGGGGCATTGATGAGTACAGCACACTAAAGGTACCCCATATACAAGGTGAGCGACCCTAAGATGCCTAGCATAGCCCAGAAGAACTCACCCTGGGGTTGTTCAGTTATGTGACTCCCACTTAGCGCCCAACAAGGAGGGGAACATGGAGGAAGTGCCATCCACCTATCCTCAAGAACAGCCCCCTACATACATGCCTCCATCTTTCCACGCATCAACACTACCTGCTTTTTGCTGTAATTTTTGCTGCATTATCTGTTCATTGCCCTTCTCTTTGGCCTGTCACCTGTCTTGGATTTTTATAAGATGCTAGCCCCTGTACTAGCCTTGATTCACTCACAGGACATCCCCATAGTGGAATATGTGAATGGCCAGGTAGAATCTAGTTGACACTGACTGTTGTCAGTCAATGTCCAATAATCTGTTCCATCTCTACAGTGTTTTGTTTGGATCTTGAACCTCCAGAAGTGGAACCAACTCACTGCTTAGAATATATAGAACTCCTTCTAGATACTACCCAGTCTAGGGATTTTCTACCGAAAGAGTCAGATTCTCCAATCCCAAGCTTGGTCTTTGCAGTCTGAGAGCTATCCAACCCTGCTTTTGGATAAAGGTTTTGGGCTTGATGGTTGCTTCCTTTTGATGCAGTCTCTTGCACCCAATTTCACTCTAGACTATTGCAACTCAACATGTTTGTATGGAAAAAAAGACAGTCTCTGGATTTACTGACTTCTTACTCACCCAGGCCCAAGTTGTCTTTGGCATGTGGGCTCATGCATCCAGTCCTGGAGTTGGGGACACTCAATTGGTGTAGAGGACTTGGTCACTAGAGGAGGCTTGCCTCCCAAACTCCATACTGAAGGTTCAAGTAGACTGGTGTGTCTGGATTTAGGAGAATGGTCTCTCCAACCGGAGGTGTTTAGGTCCTCAGTCACAGGTGGGAGAACTTCAAATATGGATCTCCTGGCTTTCAGATCCAACAACAAACTACATGCTTTGCACTTCTGTTGCTTCTTCCTCATCTGCTGCACAAAAATGAGATGGTGGGCATTATGATTGTCATTGCTGTGATCTGGCCCAGCTGGATGTGGCTCTTAGCAGGCTCTCTATGGGCTCTCCCAGATAAGCAAGAACTGGGTTACCACCCTGCTTGGTGGTCCCTGGATTTAACAATATGGCTGTTGATACCCAAGTCCTAAGAAATAGGGGCCATTCCAATTCATTATTCCTGTGCTCTTGAAGGCTAGGCAATCTAGCTCTCTCAAGGTCTACCATTGCACCTGGAAAGCACACTTTGTATGATGCTAGGCAAGGAAGCGTTATTCCAGGAAGCACTCCATTGGATATATATTGTATCTTTCCGCCAGTCTGGTCTGGATCATC